GTAGTGCTCTTGGATGCGGTAATCCATCTGTTATGGAGGTGTTGATTAAACTATATAGCTTAAAATATTGCTAAGTAGAGGCTCCATATTATTGCTTTGACTCTGCAAGCTTTTCCACAGCTGCTTTAAGCTAAGAAAGTCCTTGATGAAGATGGAAATTGCTATATAATATATCTTATTGAAAGCTTTAGTGAATTTATGCCATACTGCTGACCAAACAAACTATCCCAGCGGGGTGCTGTTTGCTGCTTTCTGGGCTGTGTTGTGTTCTCAAGTGACATCTTGAAGCATTGCAGGTGGTTTGGCACACTTTTCTGCACTTCTGAGTTGTTTTACTGGTATTGCTAAAGGTGCCGAAGACCTACAAAACAAAATAAAACAAAACAAAAAGCTCCTTGGTGTTATTAGGACAGAGCTATAAAAACCAAAGAAAACAAAAAAGGATGCTGAACACAAGGAGCTGTGAGCAACTTGAATTGATTTTCACTAAATTAAGAAACAAAGCAAATCTCCACATATTAGGTCACTGAGTATCAATCAAGATGCTTTTACTAGACATGTGTGAACTCGTCCCTGTCATGTCTCTCACTCTGTGCACGAGAGTGCTCCACGTGTTCCCTCGCAGCAGAACCCTGTGTTTGCAGCCCTGTGCTGCCGTGACCTTCTCACCATCGGGTCCCCAGGCACATGAGGCGAGAGGTGCAGGGTGTGAGCCCCGCTGCTGTGCACCCCACATCTCCCTGTGGCACTTGGAGCTCAGTGGCCGCGGAGGGGCTGCTGCCACCCCCCCCCGGAGGGAAGCCTGCCTCCTCTGCCAGGGAGCTCGCTCTCTCTTCGTAGATGTGATACGCATGACACTAGTCATTATAATGTGCATATAAGAGGAATATTTTATCAGCATATTCATAGCTGTCTGAAGATACATGGCTGGTTTTGTTCATCTTTCAAAATAATTTGTTCTAAGTGTTTTTAAGTAAATATATCCAATTACATTTGTCTTCTCTTTTATGAGTCAGCCTAAAAATACAGTCTGTTAGTGGTGCTTTGGTAGGCAAAAGGTTTGTACAAATATGAAGACATTTCCAGACAATTAAAGGAAGACTTTTGTTTAAATAAAACAAAACTTTCTTGCAAGGTTTCTTTCAGATGCAGAATGATCTTGTCAGAGTCATTGAATTTTACAAAAACAACAATTTGAATTCAACCTCAATAACAGTATATTTACTGTAGTGGCATAATAAAAGTGGGCCTTTTATTCTCATTTCATTAGTGTGTACTGCTCTGTTGGGCCCTGTGGGTGAACAACATATGAATCTCCCCTCATAGTGTTTCACAACTGCCTTCATTTTACCAGAGCAAAACAAAGTCTGTTCAAATGCTCTGTTGCTCTGATATAATGAAAAAGAAAGTACTGCATATTAACATAAATTTGAGTATGTTTCAGGCTGATCTAGGTGCACCCCAAAAATTCTGTGCATCCTTACACACATTTCAACCTTCTTGTACAACAGTTCAAATATATTATTATTCTTATATATTATTCTTATGTATTATTTTTATTTTTGTATATTTTTATTAAATATATTATTATTATATATGATTGAAAGCTAAGCGGCCTACGTGTCTGTTCAGATTCATTGCTTGCTATTTCTTCCACTTCACTGTTGCAAAACTGAAGGACACCCATGTCTAAATAGAATATGTATTGATGAACCCAAGTGGTTGATTTTAAAAGCTGCTTTCCTTTATATGTATGATGACCTAGAGAAGGGCTATGCCATTCAGCCATTTTTATGCTTACTGAGCAGTGTGTTGTTATAAAAGCACTGGTGAGAAGACTGCATCGCTTTTTGCAGCCACGCATCTTGCTGCTTTAGGATATCGGCAGTGTGGTTGGGTTGTCCCAGTCCCTGGATGAATTATTCAGGCTCTTGACATCAGAGGTTTCCGCTAGCGGATTGGCTGCTGCTCGGATAATAAAATCTTTCCACAGGAAAACAGTGGAGAAGGATGATGGCAGTGAGACCAGCAGAACTGCTACTTCCAGTACAGCTGGCTTTGTCTGGCTGTTGCATCTCTGCAAGAAAATCTAAAGATGTTTTTAAGGTCTGGCTTCAAGTGAATTCTCCGATAAGAGCAGGTGGAGGGATTTGTGTAAGAGGCCTGCATTTCCACTGAAGGAAAAAAATCAGATTGCTACTGAAAAAATACTTCTGGCTGTATTCTAAAGAATTACCGCACACTACACGAGACAGGAGTAACAGCAACAGCAGCAGCCTCAGCAGCGGCAGCAGCAGCATCATTGCTCATGGCTCGCTACAAAGGTGCTGATGGCAGGAATGTTACGTCGTTAAATCTGCTTCCCGGGTTCTTTCCGTACCGGCAGGGGGAGTGGGGGGAAAAAAGAGGGGCACGGCAGCCCGGGTTCTTTCCGTACCGGCAGGGTAAGTGGTGCAAATAAGGAGCTGACAGTCAGCAAGTGGGGGGAGCGTAAGAAAGCGTGTGACACCTGCGTCTTGTGGGCATGCATAAACAGTACCTCTGTGGAGAATTTACATCAGTTCAATGCATTTCCAGGTAAATCTGTAAAAAGCATATTTATCATGGAATTTGTAAAATCAATGCACTACGTGTGTTATGTTCAGACATAGCTTTTACAGTGGTAAAATCTGTTCCTTTTAAGCCTATACAAAATAAGTCCTTAAAAAAAAGGAAACTCGATTATTTGTAGTTGCTGTTGGGCTCATAAAGAATATATTGCTTACATATATTCTCTTGAAACAGATTATTTTGAAAGGCTGTTTCTACCGTTTGTTGATATGAGTGATATGATAGAACTGTATGTGTTCTGCTGGTAAACATTTAGAAGCTGGCAGCTGGTTCTCTGATTTCCAGTTGTCAGAAGGCTGCTTCTTAAATCAGCAGGATGCACTGGAACTACATATTAAGGAATCATTTTCATTCATTTCTCTGATCAGATGTTTGACTTCTAAAGGCCCAGTTCTTTTCTTTTCTTTTGCTGTGCTGTTGTTGTATCGTGGTTGCTGGTGAATTTTAAGTTAGAGAGGTGCAAATGAAGCCAGAGCTGGACTGATTCTGTGCACACTTGACCTCTGTCCCCACACCTACTACCTACTCACACACAACCCGATTCAAGTGTGCAAGTGCTTCCACTGAAATTAATTGGGCTACCTGTCTACATATTTGCTCATCAGAGCGCAGCTGGCGTTTACGGCACGTCAGAAGGGAAACATCTTGTTCATGGTTGGAAACCGTACAGTGAGAAATCTGTTTTCCGCAATGTAGAAACAATTATCGTATACGAAGTAGACACCCCTTGCCAAAACTAGTCAGTACGGAATGAAGCACAGTGCTGTATTTTGAGTGATACTTTTCATAACTTGCCTGTCAGTGCAACAAGTAGATCCTGAGAATGTAATGAATGTTTTAAATATTATGTAAGACAGCCTACCCAATGAAATAAAAGAAAAGAAAAATAAAGAATGCAAAATTATTTTCTTAGACATGAAGGGTGCTAATCTAGAAATAGATGCTGGCAAGTATATGTATCTTTTTTTCCTCTGTTATTTCTTATAAGTGAAATATTGTGTATATGTAAAGAAAATATCCCTGAGTCATAACACACAAACACTTTTTGGGAGCTCGTATGCGGTCAGGGAGCCGTCATTGTCTCACTTAAGATAACCCTTTGGCTGAAGAATCTTGCGTGCCGATTTGCATCCTTATGTACCCTCATTGGGGAGCAGCATTGCATGAGTGTAAATCAGTGAGCTTATTATTAGCAGTGCATGAAAGTTAGTACTTATCTGTTCCAGAACTTCAAAGGGGATTAAAGAATGTTCCCTTTTGATTTTACAGGTATGAAAGAGATCAAATCACTCCTCAGTGTTTACAGGTGTGAAAGAGATCAAATCACTACTCAGTGCTGCACAAGTCAGTATCAAAGGCAGTAGCTAAAATTAGATTTTCAACCTGTAGGTTTTGGGACATGCATTTGTTCTTACAAAAAGTAAATATTTAACAGCAATTTTATTTATTTGGATTTTCTGTAGGGGAATGAATGTGTTCCTTCAGAACTGATAATAGTAATAACATGATTTTTCAGTGAAATAAGAATTTCCTTTTATTTTTGAAAGAAAAATCTCCAACATAAATACCTGAATGCCCGTTATGAAATTATTCCATGTGTCAAACCTGATTCCCCACAATGAAGGAACAGAACTTCATGGATTGGTTATGGCACAGTGATTCTCTTCCCTCCGCAGCTGTGACCCTGGCTGCTGAAGTTGGGGGAGCTCATTCAGGAGCTATTTTTGTCTATGCAGCTGGCAACGGTCCCTGAGGCATTATCTGAGAATCAGTGAAATTCACTATAAATCAGACAAATGCTTCCAGACAGGACTAAGGGAGGTAGTAAGTAGCAGTGCAGAAATTGCCTGAACTAGCTAATTGCTCCTCCCTGACAGGATCTCCCAGAGGACAAATAAGCTTGATAATGCAATTTCCAATCATTAATTCAACATTCTAGACATTTTCAAATATACATACTAAAAGTATTTTTTCTAAGTTCCTGGTTGACTTTCTACATAAAAGCACCTTGAATGTCAGAGACACGGATTCTAGTTAAAAAGTACAGAGATGTTCGAAGTGCTCAGACCTTGGGTAAATACAATATGGACTTAGAAGTCGAACTGATCTTGGCATGCAGATTAGAGATGCTGTCTGACTAGTCATTGACTGCTTAAGACTTGAACTTTGCTGTGAAACACTTCAAATAGTCAAGCGTCAGTAAGAATATGAAATGTTTGTTATGAGTAGTTGCAGGCAAAATTAACTGTCTCAAGAAAATATAGTGGCATTTCTGGCAAGTGCGGAATACATTTGTTGTCAATAGGTAATACTGTTCTTCCATCATGGAAATCCAAAAGTATTCAGCAATGTTTAATCAAACTGATCTCCTTTTTTTCTCAGATGAGCAAGAGTCAGTGCAGAAAAGGACTTTCACAAAATGGATCAATACTCATCTAACTAAGGTAATACATGGCTTCGAATTTATATTTTTTTTTTTAAATCAAACCTTTCCATCTACGCCTATACGGGCCCTGGAGTATAGAATGTGTCAGATTTGTCTGAGCAGAGTGGCATAAACCTACAAAGGGATCCCCATTATCTGTACATCATACAGGATGAATCTATTTCAGCATGATAGCAGTCAAATGCAGCATTGTGAGTGGCGTCTACAGGAGATGACCCAGCTCCTTTGGCCAAAACTAGATGAACTAACAGCACAACAGCTGTTAGTTCAGCCAGAGGAAATATTTGAAACTGTTTTCTAAGAAACAGATAGATTAGCCTTATTACATACAGTGTATTTAAATAAAACCTGAGTCAGTTCTGTAGTTTGATAGAGGCGTCCTGAATTGGTTACAAACATGAATGGTGCTTTGTGAATCCGGTGCCAAAAGAATTATCTGATGCATCTTGGGATTTGTCACAAAACTATTGTTGCTTTTTCTTACCACAACCTAAAAATGTATTTTTTTTGTTTTAGCAGAACAAAGACAATGATTTACACACAATTTAAAAAGTATTAAGCTACAACTTGTACCAACTTTATCTGACAACATAAGCAGTGAGATTTAATTTGCGTTTCCCAGAGTTTTCACACAGCACAGCTCTAAGGATAGCTATCAATTAGTCCAGTAAATTAAAACATTTAAACACCAGAGGTGCTCTTTGAAATGCATATTTTTAAATCGTGAAGATTAATGAACTTGAAAATTGAGCAAGTAATAGCTGCAGGAGCACTGTTTTACCTTCTATGTAAGGAATTGGCTAATAATGCCCTCAAAAAAGAACAGAGTAAAGCAGGAAGCCCGCATAATGCTGTATCATGTGATTTTATATAGTGAGACTGTATGGTAGAGCAACAGAAATAATTTACATTACTGAGGAATGTAATTGAGGAATTTACTGTGAAATGAACTGCACTGGCGTTGTAAAATTCAGCGGCAAGAACAAGGTTGTATTCAGGACTTCTTGACAGAGCGTCCTTGCCGGGAATGAGGTCTGGCCCCAGCCATGTTTTTGGAAAGTGTGGAAATAAGTTTTCTGAGTTCGTCAAAGCTGTAGGAATTGATGGATGTGAAATGCACAGGACTCCCCTTGCACTCATGTTCCCAGTTGTAACCCAGAAATTCGATATTTAGGTTATTTGATTCTTGTAAAAGATTGTGGCGGGTTTTATTATTTTGAAAGAAGTTGGAAAGCTGTAATATCTCCATTGTCTGGAGGTCTGTAAAATATGATAAGATAAAATCCTGGAAGCAGACCCACTCTTAGGCAGCATTGTCTGCATTTTTCTCTTGTCTTTGAACCCAACAAAATGAGCACCTGCCAAAATGGTACCTAGAGAGGAACACCGTGAAGCCTTGGCCTCTCACTGACAGCAAAGAAACAGCAACACACGCTTCTGAATTTGGGCCTGTGTCTGTTAAAGCCAGTAAAATGGCACTGGGACTCAATAATATGGAAGGAGATGTGGGACCGGACCAGGTGCAGGTGTTGGGATGCTGGCGGCAGGGGGCTGCAGGGCAGTCTGTGTGAGGAGGGGCCAGGGCTGCCCTAGGGCAGACACGGGTTGTTCCCATCGGCTCTGGTG